GCTTCTTCGAGGGAGGACTTCGCGTGGGCCACGAACATGTTGTGGAGCCAGGCTGTCTTGTCACACCCTCGAGAGGAGGAGTTGCCCCAGAAGGCCTGCTGGTCGATGGACCGCTCCCACTTTGCACAGTCCCTCTGTCGCATGCGGGACCAGATCCTGGCAAGCATCGGCATGAGCCCGATGGCCCGCTGGCCGCCGTCAGGCTTCGGAATGGAAGCCGTGATGATGGTCCAGAGCTCGCCACGCTGCGGGTTGCGCTCCCATGCATTGAGCAAGCTGGCAAGCCTGAACAGGATATCGTCACCGACCTCAAGCAGCAGCCGAGGATAGAAGTTGTCCCACCCTAGGCCCGTTGTTTTGGGAAACTTGCGGGCCGCCAGCTTGATATCGTCGATCGTGATGGGCTTGAGCGCCCAGTCCCCAGTCTCCCAAGCCATGGGGTGCTCCTGATTCGCCCGTGCTGGCCCCACCCAAGGAGGGAGCCAGTCCTCGAGGACCCTCTCTAGCGCAGGCTATCCGACGAGGGCAGCGTCGCCGGAGCCCTTCTCAAGGATGGGCAATGGCTCGGCATGGGTCTTCTTCGAGACCTCGTGGGCGATGGACCCCGGCCGCTCGAAGGCCAGCTCGGCGAATTCGTCCCACTTCAACTTGCTGGCCTGGGAGTCCTCTGTGGTAAGTTTGACCACAATCTGCTCGATCATGGCCATGAGGTTGTAGCCCGTGGCCGTCTGCAGGCTGACTTCTTCCCAGAAGCTGTCGAGAACGGAGCCGTCGAACATAGCGATGCCCAGGTCCTGAAACTCACCACAAAGGCGGAGCGCCACTTCTCGCAACTGTCGCCCTCGTCGGGTCTTGTCTTGTAGTCGTCTGCCGAGCCGCCTTGGCCCAGCCCCCACCTGCGCTTGGCTAGGTGACGGAGGGAGAGCCAGTACTGGGTGATAGGCGAGGCCTTGTCTAGTTTGCCTGCATGTACCTTGGCCTCGAGCGGGACCGTGATCGCCCTGAAGTAGCGGGCCTCGAGTGAACCACTCTTTGATTGGGCCATCAGGCTCAGTGTCGGATGGAGGCCATGCCAGCGACTCGACCAACTGGTCCCGCCTGCCTCTGGCCACGACATCGGCCACGTACTCCAACTCGAAGGCCTTGGGCACCCTCTGGGTCTGCGCCATGGGCCGCTGCCAGCAACCATGCAGAACCAAGGAAACCGCCTGATGAGGACCGTTCGGCGTGTCGGCATGGGCCGTGATGGAGCCCGCCATGGTTTCCAATGCCGTCGAGATGACAAAGTAATCGTACTCGTTACCATTGCATGTAGCTGCTCCTGGGCCCAGCACAGCCCCTCCGATAAGGGCTGGCCACCCAGAGTCCAAAAGCTCCGAGGCCTCGATTTTCCAGCCGCCGCCTATCACGAATGGGTCGTCCAACAGCGCGCACCACTCGTGGAGGTCGGCGAGCAGCTGGCGGTCGGACCCCTGCAGGCCCACGGAGTCCTCGAGGTAAACCGAGATCATAGCAATGGTGGTGCCCCTGCACAAAGCGATCCTGCGGGCGAGGAACATGTGCTGCTGGCCATCCCAAGGCTGGACGTATCTCGCCGAGCCCAGCAGCTTCGAGGTGACGATGCCAACGCCAGCCGAGACCGCCGTGGCCGCCTCTCCCGTTCTGAGCACAGCTGAGCATGCCAGCTGGAGGCCGCATCGGTTGGCCCATCCGTGGGCGTGCTCCTCGGCGGTCTGGGAGGAAAGCCGCGTCTCCTGGACCAGTGCGACGTGCGGCTCGATCCCTTTCCTGCGCATCCACTCATGGACGCTAGCGATCGGGTTCCAAGTGTTACCGTTGTCGGTGCAGACGCGGAGGGCACCATCCAGCGAGCCCTGCTGCAGCGCCACGGGCTCCAGGTGGGGCAGGCACTGCTCGAGGCTGATGGCTACCACGCCTGCAGCGACAGGCGCATGCCCTGTGTGCAGGACCAGATTATGCACTTCTGAAGCCTCGGGGTCTGTCCCAGCTGGGCGTCGGGCCTCCTGGTCGACGCTGCCTCCGTACCTGGCGGGCTTCGACCGCCCCCCCGTCGGGGGCCGCACAGGCAGGGGCCGCGTGGGGGGAGGCTGCTGTCCGAGCGGCCTCGGCTCCTTCGCCGCGTGCTCAAGCAGCGGACCAGGAGGGCTGCCCGCCTCCCCTCCGCCAGGGGGGGCGCTACCCTGCGAACTGACCAGCAGCCCCGTCGCCAGCAGCAGGCGCAGCAGGTGCAATGGCCACCTTCTGCTCGGTGGCCCGGAGGCGGGCTGCCTCGGCTGCCGCAGCCCCGAGCTCGGCTGCGTGCGCGGCGTGCCCGCTGGAGCCGCTGGCGGGCCCGCCTGCGGCGGCGGTGGTGGCGGCAGCCGCCGCGGCAGCAGGGGGGCTGCCTGGTGTTCGGCCGCCGTTGCTGCCGCGATCTCCTGAGCGGAGGCCCCTGCGGGCTCCTCAGGCTGGGTCCGCCCCCTCTTGCGGCGCCTGCTGGCCGCGGCCTCCTCGATGTCCTTCTTAAACCGCTGCAGCTGCTCCTGGCAGTTGCACTCAAATACCGCCTGGGCCTCCGGCATGACCCTGTGACCTTCCTCGCACATCTGGCGGAGATTGTCCTGGGCCTCCTACTCCAGCTCGCTGAAGTTCTCGAGCGTCTCCACGTCAAAGGTGAAGGTGACCCACTTCGAGGCATGGGGAGTCGGCTGCGCGATGCCCGAGGCTTGGGCCCGACTGCGCAGTAGCTGGGCCTCCTCCGCCTGGGCCTCCGCCAGGCTGGTTGCCACGGTGTCCCGCCAGCCACGGCACTCGTCCAGTTGCTCCTCAGCCGCCGCCAGGGCGTCGGCGGCCTCGTCCAGCAGGTTGATGCGCCGATCGGTGGCCGACTGCAGCTGCTGCTCCAGTCTTCTGGGCTGCTGCAGGCGGGGGCGGAACGAAGTCGCGGGCCTCCGCGACCGCCTCCCGACGCGTGGCCGCGATGGTCGGGTCGGGGATGGCCAGCAGCTTGTCGAGCTCCGATGTTCCAGATGACGACCTGGGGGCGCCAGGAAAGCCACGGCGGCCATCGACAGCGCCGCCCGCCGCTGCGGCCTTGGCCTTGGGCCCCCCCCCCCCGCCACTGCGGCCTTGGCCTTGGGGCTGGCCTTCGGCGCTGCCCCTCCTACGCCATTGCCCGCCTAGACACCACTGCGCGGCGACGGGTTGGCGGGCTTGAGCTCGAGGGACTGACCGCACGTCCAGCAATGCGTGTTCTTGCGGAAGTTCCACCTGAAACAGCACGCAGTGCAGGTGACGAACCCTGGCTGCGCCTTCGGCGCCATGGCGGCTTCTGAGACGCGAGAGAGTGGGGCAGACCACTTCTCGTCAAAACTGTCGGGCTGAGCAGCCCTGGCACTGGCCGCGGACTAGCGGTATCCACGTGTTTCCCTGTGGAACGAAGCATCTTGAGCCAAAGTGGCCACGGAGAGGAGATGAAAGAGGAGGAGGAGGAGGAGGAGGAGGAGGAGGAGGAGGAGGAGGAGGAGGAGGATGAGGTGTGGGGGAGGGTGGAGGACGAGGAGGGGGAGGAGGAGACGGATGAAGAGGATGGGGTGGGGTGCACGGGAAGAGGAGGAGGGGTCATGGTGGTGGTGGTGATGGTGGTAGCCTCTAGCTCCCAGCAGTCACAGAAGGATGAGGAACAGGAGGATGAGGAGGAGGAGGAAGATGAACAGGAGGAGGAGGAGGAGGAAGAGGTCCAACTCTCCCTCCTTCTCCCCTTCTCCCTCGGTGAAGTAGGTCTTCGAAAGGCTCATTATCCTCCCCTTCTTCGTCGCTGAACCGGGCCCTCAGGAAACTCCCTCGTTCTGCGGCGTGGCTCTGTCCTCCTCCTCCTCCTCCCCCTTCCTCATGGGATGTCCAGGTGGGATCTCCAGAGGCCTTCCGAGGCCTACATTTCGATCGTGATGATCGTCTCATAGATCCCGGAATTGTTGTAATGAGCAAGCGGAATGCATGCACTTCGGGATTATCACATGTGTTTCTAAACATCTGGGACCTTGAGAGTGCCATAAACAATGCCATACAGGATGCGTTCAAGAGGGCCTGGCCTTCGAAGGATTTGGAAGGCAAGCAGACAGCATCAGAAGGAAATCGAGGGCGGCTCCGCCGGCGGAAACCTTGCGGAAGTTGGCGGAAGTAGTAGGCGCGCCCCCATGAGATGCCAACATGTTCATCATTTTGGGGTTGAGGTTTCTCAGAGGACCCCATCTGCTATCTGTTGCCGAAGGTGGCGTTGGCCCAAGGCGAGCCTTGCATGTCCGGGGAGGCCCCGATGGCCTCGAGAAAACACGTCACGAGGCCCAGGACCCAAGGGCTCCACTATAATGCGAAGAGCCGGGGACACCTTGGAGTATGTAGGCCAGGGTCGGCCGTGGAGGTCCTCGAATATGGCCCCTTGCGGCCCTTGCGTCGCCGACAAATTTGCGGAGCGGGACGCCGCTCGGCGCCTTCTCCGCGCGGGGCCCGCCAGACTCGATGTGCCGCCCCCCGGAAAGCAGGAGTGATTCTAGTAGGGTCCTGGCCGCTGCTAACTGGGACCCAGCCCTAGCACACCATCATCTTCATAATCTGCAGTATCATCACCATCACCACCATCACCATCATCGCCATCATCATCATCATCATCATCATCATCATCATCATCATCATCATCATCATCATCATCATCACCACCACCGTCACCATAACCATATCATCAGCAGCATCAGCATCAGCATCAGCATCAGCATCAGCATCATCATCATCATCATCATCATCATCATCATCATCATCATCATCATCATCATCATCATCATCATCATAATGAGCATCATCATCACCGTCGTCGTCGACATCGTCACTGACATCGTCATCACCACCACCATCACCATTACCATCATCAACCGCATCATCATCACCATCACCATCTTCACCCGTTGCCACCAGCCATCGTCATGACCAGCAAAGCCATCCGCAGAGGTCTGCTGCCCGACGGCCAGCAGCTGTACGTGGTAAGCGATCCGATGGCCCGCCGCCGCCCCCTGCGGCCGCCGTCGCCCTTGCCGCCGCGTAAGCCCGTCGTCGTCGTCGCCGCCGGCGCCGCTGCCGCCGAGGTCGCCGCCGTCGCCAATGTCGTCGTCGACGTTGTCGCCGCCGTCGTCGCCAGCTTCGTTGGCTTTATCTGGGGTTTTCGGGAGTCCTTGCCCTCTTTGGACCTCCTGAGGCCTGCAGATGTAGGCGGTGGACGGTGGTGGTGGTGGTCGTCGTCGCAGGTAGTCAGTATCGCAGCCGCTGTCGTCGACGTCGTCGTCATCGTTGTTGTCGTGTTCTCTTAAGGGATGTTTTCGGATACGTGTAGCCTTTGTTGGCAGCCCATGGGCCTCGCGCACAAAGGGGGCAGGGCAAGGGGAGAGCCCCGCGTTCAGGAGGTTTGATACCTAGTTAGTGTTCCTTGTTTTTTGCTATGTTCGTCCCCCCTTGGCCTCCCAGAGGGCCCTCGTGGCCACCATTTTTGTTTCAAATCTCTTCCGCACTCAGCACTCCTGGCGGCCCTGCTTGGTCAATATGTCCTCTGGTGCGTTGTCGTCGCATCACACGATAATTAACAAGTCTACGCTGCATGAAAAAATCTGGATGAGCGAACGCACCCTGCGAAGCCAGCTGGAGTCAAAACTCCGTACATGTCGCCGCGCCGATTGTTCAGACGCGGGGCCCTACGCCTCTGGGAGTGCGCCCATCAGGCCAAATTCAGCCTCGGACGCGGGTTCGCCGTGGTTTTGCCGCGGTGCGGACTGCGTCTACCTGGGGCGCAGGGCGCAGGGCTTGCCGTGGGTTTGCCATGGTGTCGGCGTCGCCCACTTGGGCGCGTCGAGAACAAGCGGCGCTGCGACACATTGCCTGGTTGCCCCGTTTGGAATGTCGGGCGCTTCTGAAGTGAACATCGATCGCATGCTGCCTATGGTATGGCATAGCGGTTGGGACATCGGGCACCAGCTGGGCGCGGCTCGGCAAGCGCGGCGCGGGAGAGGTCGGCGGAGCGGCCGCGAGCGGATCGCGGCGCCCCGCCTCTCGACGGGCCCGCCTGGCCTCCGTGAAGCTTCCTGGAGGAGCTGATCGAGTCGGAGGCCTAACTGAGGCGCTCCAGAATCGGCCTCGCCGTCGAGGGTCGAAGGAGTTGGCACCTCTTCCTCGGCGGAAGGCGGCGCAAGGTCGGCGGAAGCAGGCGGAAGGAAACCGAGGGCAGCTTCGGTGGCGGAATCCGACTGAAGGCCGGATGGAGTCGGCGGAAGGGAAAGATGCGCCCCAAAGAGATGGCAATATTTGGGGATCAGGGTTTCCGGAGCCCGCCATCTACGGGGAGGCTAGGAGCACATTTGCGGGCCGGGCCCGGTTGTGTTCCATGCTTCGGCCTTCTGGCAGAATTTCTTTCGTCGGGCCGCGCCAATATTGAAGAAGGGTAGTGCGAACTCTCTGAGAAACCATTCACTTGCATTTCATTCCGAGGGCCCCGCGCTTTGCGGTTGTCGTTGCGGCTCGCTTCTTCCGTAGCAGACGTCGTCGGATTGATTAAGGGTTTCTTGGGGTTGCCGACAAGGTGTTTGTTTTGTTGTCGGGGCATGGGCTCCCCTTTGTGCTATTTTGTTCCAGGCCCACGCGACTGCGATTTCCCCTACTCGAACCATCCCTGACAGCAGCAATTCCAGCCCTTAGTGCTTCCAGCCTCCCAATATAGAGGTTCGCACAAACACCAAAATCGGCGGTTGCGTCCCCCGAGGTCAGACGATCTCGATCTCGGCGACGGTGGTGGTGTTCGGGCTTGTCAGGTGGCCGAGGTATCAGCACCAACGTCCAAATCCAGGATCACATTACCCCGGTGGAGCAATCCCCTGCCTCGGCGTTGGTGCCAATTCCCAGGCCTGCAATCATGCTTCCTTTCTGAGATGCCCCCCGTGCTGCGGGAAATGCAGCAAGTTCTCTCCAGACACCAGATGGCAGCTTGGAGCACACGAGGAGCTCGGTTGGGAGTCCACACTTCCGACGCATCCTTGGGGCCTCTGGGGACACAGCGCCAGAGGCCGAAGTCACTAACTAATCACAGGTTCAGGAGGAACCATTAGAACAAACACACATTGGCAATACATTCATTTAACAATTTTCATATTTCCTCCTGTGCCCCCCTCGTCATCCCCTCCGGCTCTCTTCCCCATCCTTTCCCTCGTCCTTCTTCCTCCTCGCGTGGCTGCCTCTTTCGAGTCAGACTGACTTGAGTCTGGGCCGCAGCCCAATGCCAGCCCTGCCGCAAGACGTCGTGGAGTGCACGGGGTACCTTGTGAGGTATCGGTTGTCTCTGTCTTCTTCCTCTTTCTTCTCATTTAAACAACTGCCACAAGTGGGAGAGTATTCTCCTAAGGAGTGGGGGAGATGCAAACAGGCACCGAGGCCGTGACAAATATTGATGCTCATGGTGTCCACGAATGGGGCATAATTTGTCCGCCGGAGGTGGGACAAGCAGCAGACGGCGAGTTACACCAGGGACTTCCTTCGCTTGTATGGAAAAGTGGAAAGAAGGGAGAAATGACAACCAATGCAATACGTAAACATATGGGGTCCTGGAATGCGTGTCGCCTCTGGAATTCTGGCCCACCGCGCTTCGGTGTGATACGCTATCCATTTCCCCATTCCCCAAGCGCCAACGTCCCGCGCTTTTCCGAGCCTCCAGCCCCGCGAAGCGGAGCTCTGCGACTCGCTATCCGCTTGCAGGGGATAGCGTGCTGCCGGGGCCGCCGCGGCGACACGCTGAGCAACAGTTCCCGACCGTAGATGCTGAAAGGTATACTTCCTGTGTCCCTTCTTTTGCATCCAGACAATTAGTCAGTCGTGTGTCTCCGATTACTGCGAGCGCCCGTGCGGATTGCCTCTGTCGTGCTGCGACGGAAAAAAGTGTTGAAGGGTACGCACGCCGCCCTCTTGCCACGCCGCCCCCCCCGCATGCAGCCCCGTGCCCGCCGTGCCCCCAAGGCTCCAGGAGCTTCCCCTCGCTGTGGCACGAAGCCCGGCCTCTGAGGGCCCCTCATGAGGCCCTCGGGACTTCCAAACACAATGCTCATGTCTGGTCTACGCGCAAGACCGACTCGAAGAAGGAGTGCTGCAGAAACATCAGTTTTCGACCGTCCACGCCGCCAGGGGGGTCCACCGCAGATCCAAGAAATCAGCGCGGACCGCCGAACGTTCATGTTTATGCCGTTGTTTCTTCCTCTAGTGACCCTTCGCTGGGGTGACCTTGGGTGCGGGCCCAAAGTGGCCCCCCAGCATTGGCCTGCGCGGTAGGATCTGAACCCCCCCGCAGCCCCCCGAAGCCGCGCACCAAACATCACACCTGCCCAGGGCAACCCATGCGTAGGGGGCGCATAAACATGAACGTTCGGAGGTATGCGCAGATTTTTAGGATTGGCGGTGGGCCCCCTTCATGGCGCGCGGAGTGCGCCAGGGACGGCGCCAGAGGCGCCGTCAGGGGAGCCCAGGTCCGGTCTAAACAATCCGGGCGGAGGTTTGCAAAATCAGATTGCGAAGGCCTTGCGACTGGTGCCGCCGACCCGGGGAACGACGACAACGGCGGCGGCGACGACGACGCTGACGTGGGTCAGAGTCCTCATGGATGCTTCTTGGAATCTCTTCGAAGCGCTCTCGGGGCCTCTGGGAAACAGTTTAGGGGCCTCTTGGGAGCCTCTTGGGGCCTCCTGGGCTGGGGGCCTCTTGGGGGCCCCTTGGGGGCCTCTTGGGGGCCTCTTGGGGGCCCCTTGGGGGCCTCTTGGGGTCCTCTTGGGGGCCTCTTGGTTCATCCTGGGAGCCTCTCGGGGCCGAGGGCTCGAAATGTCTGTTCTGGTCCCTCGTCTGGCCACCCTCTTGGAGCCGTCTTGTGGGCCTCTTGGGCTGTCTTAGAGGCGTCTTGGGCCGTCTTGGGGCCCTCTTGGGCCGTTTTGGGTCCCTCGTGGAGCCCTCTTGGTCCGTCTTGGGGCGATCTGGAGGGCCTCTTGGTCCGTCTTGGAGCGTCGGGAAGCGTAAGAGGCGAGAACGCCGAAATGCTTTAAAAACAAATAGGGTATCCGTGAGTTTCCCTCTTAGGGCCCTCTTGGAGTGCTCCTGGAGGCCTCTTGGGCCGTCTTGCAGGGCTCTCGGGCCGTCTGGAAGCCGTCAAGGCGTCTTGGACAGATCGTTTGGCGATTCGGGGCCCTCTTGGACCGTCTTGGTGGCCTCTTGGGGCACTCTTGGCCCATGTTTGCGCTTTTTGGGGCCCCATGGCCCCCCAGGGGGGGACCCGGGACCCCAGGGACCACCTTTCCCTTTCCCGGCGGGGAAAGGATCAAAGGGAAGGGGCTCCTTTTCGAGTCAATTACTCAGTTACTTCGTTGCTCAATGTCGCTTTGGCTGGCGCGCTTCAGGAGGAGGGCCCAGGGAAGGGGTGGGGGAGCGACGACGGGCCCAGCGTTTGAGTAGGAGGGCCAGAGGAGAGGGGGGGGAGCGGCGACGGGCCCAGGGAAAGGGGCGGCGCAGGGAAGGGGGACGGCAGAGACCACGTCTAACGAATGACGGAGACGACGACTCGAGCGAACAAGCCCCTCACACACGCCGACAGGGTCCGCGGAGCTTTGCAAAAATGATATTTGTGAGTTTGTTTCTCAAGTTTTCTCAAACACGTTTGGGGTGAAGCAATGGTGCTGGGGCAAAGGTCCAGATCTCTAGGGGCCCACGTTGCGAACCAAGTCGCGGCGTTGGGCCTGGCGAGAGGGAGGGCTCTTATGTTGCTTCCGTGTGGCGGTCGATGCCCACTCTCGACGATGACGATTGTTTCCGCCTGTGCCCCCATCGGGGGCCCCCAAACGGTGCGGTGACCACACAGTGTGGGGAGTCAGTGGGGCTTCGGGATCGCCGCACGGCTGCTTTGGGGCTTGAACCGTTCTCCGAGAATGTCTCGGGCAGTTGGGGCCTCCGAGGTCGCAAAACCATGCGGTGACGGACCGTGGTGTGACGTCTTCGGGGATCCCGAGGTCACCATTCGGGGATCCCGAGGTCACCACACGGTCTGTCACAACACCGTCTCAGGGCCCCCAACCCTCATTGTGCCTGCCTGGGCAGCGCAAATCGGCGGCGCGCACAGGGGGGAGTGAGATGGGGCAGGCCTTCTCAGCAGGCGGGGGGGCTTCTCAGAAGCCCTCTGGCCTTCTGAGAAGCCGCCTCCTGTCTTCGGAGAAGGCTCGCAGGGGACCCGAGGCCCCCGTGATCGAGCCTCCGATCGGCGAGGGGGGAGGAGTCAGCCACACGCGAGAGTAGCCTGTCGACGGAGTGACCTCTGGTGCGGGCCCAGTGGCCCCCCACCCCCTGATCGCTGAATGCGATGCGATAGCAGCGACTTGCGACAAAGGAGGAAAAGGTACCCATACGGCACCCTTCGCCAGTTGTTCCCTTTTTCGGCCTCCAGGGAGGCCCTCGTCGCCAACACTGGATTCGCCTCGAAGTCCTGGTCAGCACGCACCCCAGGAAAGGTCGGGGGAGTAGCGGTATCGGTACCTTTTCGGTTTCCCTATTGCGGTCCTGGTGGTGTCCCCCAAGACCCCCCCTTTGGCCGCGCACCAGAGGTCATCATGGCCCAGGGTCACTCTTGCGTGCAGCCGAAGGATGATGAAGAAGGTCTGGTCAGGGGCAACGTTCGGGGGGGATCAGGCTCAGGGGGACGCATCGACCCCGAATCGCCCACTGAGCGCCGCCAGGGGCCCGATAGCCCGCCCCGCCGATGAGCGTACGCCTTTCTACTGGGGGCTTATCGCCGATCTCCGATTCCAGGTCAATGCTTTCCTCCCTCCCCCCCCTCCCCCTTCCCCCCCCGCCAGTGCCCCCCCTTCTCCCCCCCGAGGAGGAGGCAGGGAGAGAGGAGAATGATACCGTAGAGATGGCGTGCTCTGCTTCCGCCCTGCAGCCTGACGGATGGAAGTCCGCGCTCGCGCGCAGTGCCCCCCGGGGGCTCCGCATGCAATGCCTCTGGAGCTCAGGGGAGCCAAGAGCGCTCAACACCCTTCAGAAGCCTACCCCCTCGGTCTTCCCAGGTCGAGGCGAGGGCATGAGTTTCGGGTGGCGGAGGGTACTGTGTTCCTGCGGGGTGCGTACATGATGCCTCCGGAGCCGAGGGGAGCCAAGGGCGAGAAAAGTTCAGAAGCCTTCCCAGACCTCCAATGTACGGATTTTCTCCAGGCGGCGTCCCTGAAGCTCTGGACCACTTCTCGTGGACTGGTTTTTCGTCCCCGATAGTGGTTTGACGGTCCCGGGGCCTGGCAAGGGCCCAGACGCTGAAAACTACGAGAACCGTCCGTCCTGATCCCTTAATACGCGAGCATGTCTGGGTCCCCCCCGTCGATCTCAGAGGCTGGAGGGGAGGGCAAAGACTTCCGGGAGGCGGGAAGGGAATCCTTTTGGGGGGGCGGCCCCGGCGCCTGCCGCAGGGCAACTCCATCGGCATCCGCCGTGTGCCCGACGTCAAGTCCCCTAAGTCGGGCATGCGCCCGCCTCGGCATGTGGTTTAAACTTCCACCCCTGCACACTATGACAGGGACCATTTCAACTCCTCCGACTCGATTCGGGTTCGATCGATTCCAATTCCGATTTGGATTTCGCTTTTTCGGTGGAGACCTTACTAGTCTGCCGATTTCCGCCGATTCAACTTCTGTCGACTTGGCTGCCGATTTCCGCCAATCCGATTAGCATCGATCGCCGATCCGACTTATCGATTCGATTCCAGGCTCCTTTGCGATTTGCATATCACGAGCGATAGACGTCACACCACAATTGGAATAACATCAAGTGCATCAGCGTAAAGTTTCGGAGTTCCGCGCAGTTTTTTGGATCGGCGATGCCCCCCCCCCCTGGCGGCGCATCTGTCGCCGCCCCTGGCGCGCTCCGCACGCGAGGGAAGTGGGGTCCAGCGCCGAGCGGAGCTCCGACAGTTTCTGGTTATGCTGCGTGTTGTCTTCGAAGCTTGAGTACGAACACCGGTATACCATCATTCGTTTCGCCATCGGGAACGCTGCCCCAGGGCGATTGGAGAGTTTATGCCCTTGCTGTGGCACGTCGGGGTATATGAGCTTTCCAGTCGCCCTGGGGCAGGCGTCCACGGTGATGGAAAATGATTAGATTATACCGTTCTGCGTCCGCTTATGCATACACAGTATTGCTTGTCATGATCGCCTCATGATCTGCCCCATCCTTATCCGAATCACCCTCCTTGATCTGCTCGTCCTGCTGATTAGCGAATGCTGTTGGCATTCCTCGTCCTCTTCCTCTTTGTTCCCCCTTCCTGCTCGTTCCCCTCCTCGCCGTAAATTCCCCCTTCTTCTCCGTCGTCTTCCTATTCTACCTCATCATCTGAATTCGAGTATAAGCCCTCTTTCCGACATTTCCAGTCGTACACATTATCTTGTTGGTTCCCTTCGTCATCGGGGTTTTGCCTTGAATGCCAAGGTGGCGCGTGGCTTCGTGTAGTCAGCCTACTCCGCATCACGCTGGATTGGTTGTATTTCGAAGGGTTGCCATGGCTGGTTAATTCCTGGCACGCTTCTCTTGCAGCTGCAACACCATGGCGATATTCGGCTGCGTCCTCCTGCTGATTTCATTGTCTCCTCAATCGAAAAATGATTTGTATTGTTTGTCTGTGGATTCGTTTCTCAGATCTGACCGTGCTTCGCTTTGCAAAATGGCTCGACCTTCGTCTGTTCGTGCGTACTGCGTTTCCTCGCCTCGTCATCATATCCATCGCCATCATCATCGCCACCACCACCATCATCATCATCACCATCATCATTACCATCATCATAATGATTCCAGAGAAAACCCCAATCAGAATTTTTGGGGGGCTATGGGGCTTTAGGGCTTTAGGGCTATGGGGCTGTAGGGCTATAGGGCGTTGTGGCCATAGGGATATAGGGCTAGAAGCCTTTAGGGCTATAGGGCTACAGGGCTATAGGGCTATAGGGCTATAGGGCTAAGGGCTATAAGGCTATTCGCGCTATAGGGCTATAGGGCTATATACGGCTATAGGGCTTTAGGACATAGGGCTATAGGGCTATAGGGCTGTAGGGCTATAGGGCTATAGGGCTATAGGGCTATGGGGCTATGGGGCTAATTATGGGGCTATTGGGCTATTGGGCTATAGGGCTATCGGAGGTGAGGGGGTGAGATCGAAGTGGAACGGCGAGCCCCCCACCGGGAAATCGGTTTCGGTTTCGTGTTCGTGCGTGCCGTGCGTGCGAGGCGAAGCTGCGTGGGCGGGCGAGAAAAAGTCTCCTGTGGCTGAGGCGCGGCCGGACCAAATGTTTCTCTTCCGGGGCGCGGGGCCCCGCGGTGTCCCGCCGGTGTCCCGCGGTGTCCTCCTGTGGCTGAGGCGCGGCCGGACCAAATGTTTCTCATCCGGGGCGCGGGGCCCGGCGGTGTCCCGCCAGTGTCCCGCGGTGTCCCGCGGTGTCCCGCGGTGTCCCGCCGGTGTCCCGCGGTGTCCCGCGAGGATGATGATGATGATGATGAAGAGATGATGATGATGATGATGATGATGATGATGATGATGATGGTGGTGATGATGATGATGATGAGATGATGATGATGGTGTCCCGATGAAGATGATGATGATGCTGTTGATGATGGTGTCTATGATGATGATAGTGTCTCGATGATGAGGATGATGATGCTCATGATGATTATGTTGATGATGATGATGGTGTCCCGATGATGATGATTCCTATGATGCTGGTGATGATGATGTTCATGGAAATTGTGTCCCCGCGATAATGCTGTTGATGATGATGATGATGATGATGATGATGATGATGATGATGATTATGGTGTCCCGATGATGATGTTGATGATGATGGTGATGATGATGATGGTGATGCTGATGGTGTCCCGATGATGATAAGATTGATAATGACGATGTTGATGATGATGTTGCTCATGATGATGGTGCCCCAATGATGATGATGATGTTGTTGATGATGATGATGATGTCGATGATGATGATGCGATGAGCATGATGATGATGGTGTCCCGAGGATGATGACGATGTTGATGATAATGTTGATGATGATAACGATGGTGATTATGATTGTGTCCCGATTATGATGATGATTATGATGATGCTGCTGATGATGATGACGATGACTGTGTCCCGATGATGATGATGATGATGATGGTGATGATGATGATGATGTTGATGATGAGATGATGATGGTGATGATGATGTTGTCCCGATGATGATGCTGACGTTGGTGATGATGTTTATGATGCTGCTGATGATGATGATGATGATGATGACGGTGCCCTTATGATGATGACGATGTTGGTGATGATGTTGATGTTGATGATGTTGATGATGATGATGATGATGATGATGATGATGATGATGACGTTGATTGTGAGAGCGATTGTGATATCGATAGTGAGATCGATGTTGAGACAGAATGTGAGATCGATTGTGTGATCGATTGTGAGATCGATTGTGAGATCAATTGTGAGATCGATCGAATGAGATAGATCGAGTGAGATCGATTGTGAGATCGATCGAGTGAGATCGATCGAGCGAGACCGATAGTGAGATCGATACTGAGATCGATAGTGAGACCGATCGAGTGAGACGTTGGTTCCCCCCCCCGCACCTCCTTATCACCCGAAGGGTGGTCGTATAGGTACGGCTATAGGGCTATAGGGTTATAGTGCTATAGGGATATATGGCGATTGGGCTATTGGGCTATATGGATATAGGGCTATTGGGCTAGGCACCCCCGGGCACTTCTGGGCACCCCGGGCACCCGGGCACCCCTGGGCACCGGGGGCCCGGGCACCCCCGGGCACCCCCGGGCACCCGGGCACCCGGCCCAGGCCACCGAAATCGGCCACACACCTGAGCACCGGGGCACCCCCGGGAACCCCCGGGCACCCGGGCACCCGGCCCCGGCCACCGAAATCGGCCGCCCACCTCACCTCAGCTTTATATCCGCTAGGGCCCCTACAGAGGCAAGCTCTGATTGGGGAATCAGCAGCATCAGCATCAGCAGCATCATCAGCATTACCATCATCATCGTCATCACCGCCATCATCAGCATCATCAGCAGCACCATTGTCATGAGCATCATCATAATCGCCAGCTGTATCATAACCATCATCAGCATCATCAGAAGCAGCATCAGCAGCAACAACACCATCACCATCACCATCACCACTCTGATCATCATTGTCATCATCACCATCATCATCGTCATCATCGTCAGCGTCATCGTTAGCATCAGCATCTTCATCTTCTTCACCAACATCTTTTTCATATTTATCATCATCCTACTATTCCTCCTCCTGACGTCTTCTCGCCCACCACCACCACCACCACCAATATTAGCCTACTATTCCTCTCGAGCCTCCTCCTCATCGTCCCGTGTCGTTCTCTTTGGAATACTCCTTGTCATCTTCCATCGTCCACTTCGTTCTCGTCCCCCTTTCCTTCTCCTACCTTTTTTATCCCTCCATCCTCCTGTTCGTCCTCTTCCTGTTTTCCTCCTCCTCCTCCTCTCCTCCTCCTCCGCCTCCTCCTCCTCGTCTGCCCGTCCTCTCTCCCCCCTTCTTCCTCCTTCCCCCTCCCCCCTTCCTCCCCCCTCCACGCCACTCCCCCCCCTCCTCCCAGCGGGGCCTCCGGGTCAACAAGACAGTCCAACAAGCAGCCGTCCCCCCCCCTCCTCCTCCTCCTCCTCCTCCTCCTCCTCCTCCTCCTCCTCCTCCTCCTCCTCCTCCTCCTCTTCCTGGGTACGTTCGCTCCTCCTCCCTCCTCCTCCTCCTCCTCCTCCTCCTCCTCCTCCTCCTCCCGTCTCCTACTTCCTCTGCAATCCTCCGTCCTCTGCTGCCCTCCCCTGGGTAGACCCCCCTTGGGGCACAACTCCCTTCCGAAGCAGAGTAAGTGTTCGAGCCGACTTCGGAGGCAGGAGGCGACAGCGCCTCGGACCCCGAGGCAGCGGGCTAATGCGCCCTAGAATGGATTCAGGCCGCTGTCTTATCTTAGTTTACCTTCCTCCCCTCCCCTCCTCCTTTCTCCGCTCCCTCCTCTTCCTCTTTTTCTCTCTCTCTCTCTCTCTCTCTTTCTCTCTATCTCCCTCTCTCTCCTACTCCTCCCGCTGGCTTCAGCCCACTTCTCCTTGTTGCTCTCCTCCCCATCCCCTCCCCTCCCCCCTTCCCCTCCCCTCCTCATTCCTCCCCTCCCCTCCCCCCCTCCCTTCCCTCCCCACCCCCCTCCATGAGCAGTGGCGCCGCCCTGCTCGCCCCACCACCACCAGCTGCGGGGGGGCGGCCGGCCTGGGCAGAGCGGCGCTTCGCCCGGCCGCCGAGCGGCGGCGCGCGGTCGCGCGCGCGGGCGCCAGACCGCGCGCACGCGGGCGGGCACCGAGGTCCCTCCTCAACAAGGAGATCTTCGCCGTGTCGGAGGCGGCGGCATCCGCCCCTCCCGCGGGGAGGGGGAGGATGGGGGAGGAGGAGGAGGAGGAGGAGGAGGAGGAGGAGGAGGAGAAGTTGGAGGAGGAGGACGAGGATGGAGGACCAGTGCAGATTGAACCATCAGCGATGTTGCAAGACACCCTCCCTCCAAGCTCCCCCTTGAATTGTCCCCTAGAAGGATCCTCTTTCACTGAGGGAAGTGCCGCGTTGGAAGACAACCGTCTGAAAATCCTGAACCGTAGTCGCTAGCAGTCTTCAGCCATGTGATGCGCCTGATGATGGTGCCAAGCCCCCCCCCCCCGCCCTGGACGCGGAAGCCCATCGTCGCCGCGATCCGCAAATCGGTGCCTGGCATGAGACCCATCGGGTTTTACTGATGTGTAGTCCGCATGGTTTTGCGCTGGCATTCCAGCGGTCGTAAGACCTGGGGGCGCAGCATCCAGGGCAGCGGTGTATTTAGCGTGCGATCAGGTTGATCCTCAATTGACACGGCTTGGAGGCAGCATGTTCGAGGGGACTTACCTGTCGGTGAGCAGCATCACGTTCTCAGCCTTTTCGCAGACATCACGCAGTGTTTCGAGTGCGCGCAGCAGTCTCAGTTTGTGCACAGTGCGATGGAGTGGAAGTAGCCATAGCGCTACACGCACGTACGAGTGGAAGCGCATTCTCAACTTAGACGGGGCAATGTCTAACGGCATCACACAACATCAAGCTATTGTAGCAGGTAGTAGCTCAACGACTTTTGAGATAAAGGCGCATCGTAGTCCCACCATGAAGGCCTTTATGGGCAAGGTGTCTCAATTGCTTTGGCCGCCCATGTGAACGAAATCAGCCTGAACAAGCGATGTGCTCACATACTACGCTGTGTGCAGAGCTTGACATGGTCTCTTAAGTGTTTCATCGACTACCTCTCCCAGATGTTTAACCTCATGCTCGCGTGAACGAAGTTTTGCATACGGACACCAGTGAGGAGCTGGTGCAATCCGCGAAATTATACTTGACGCAGTGTGCTGGCCGGCACGACGTCCCCCTGATCAATCTAGGCGTAGACTTCAACCCAGGCAAGCACAACATTATCAAACACGCGAAGCAGAAACGCAATCCGAAATGGAGCCAGCAGCGAACAAGACTCTGCAAGATCAGAGGCCTCAGACATATTAGACGCGCGAAGTCCAACCTCTGCTTTTGCTGGGCAGGGCCTGCCACTGCGCGGGGGCTCAAGCCTGCCACTTGGAATCCAAATGCAATCAGACGATTGCGTTCCTTGGCTGCTGCTTTCCTGGGTCTCGCGATTTGCGGCGCGGACCTTCACTTGGCCGTCTCGCTGCAGCCGAGCAAGGACCCGTTGCGCCACGCAGGCGCGACCATCGCACGCTATGCCAACTTGGCTGGCCTCGGACCCGGACCATCGACCGGGTGATTGTTTGTCCATCGATGACTTTTCCAACATCCAGAATGCACCCCGGCAGTATCAGAATTGTCGGGCGAAGGCTTCTGGGGATACGGTATCCTAGGAACCCGGAGATGATTCTGTTATCTTGGTTGAAGAATGTTTCCTGGGACCCTCGAGGCCCTGGGATGTTTGGCGCGAGAAGTCGGGCACAGTGCATTTTGACGGAGATCCCTTGCACAAGGGTATCTAACTCTTTGGTGAAGGATCTAGGTGAGGAGTTCGTGACAAGCAGCATAGAAAGACACTTTGCTTATAGTGAGCACCCTGGAGCAGATGTCCTATCTCCAGGGGCTTGTGGGCCGACCTACCTGGGGCTATATATCTGGAACGGGACAGAGTTTAGAACACCTTAAGAACTAGACAGCCTATGCTCACTAGAAGTTTTGCAGCTGCCAGCCACCTTCACAGATGGCGGTATCCAGCGAAGACGCTGTGCCCTTGCTGCAGGACCACTGCAGGTGGAGCCACCAGCGGAGCCTTGCGCCGCTGTTTTGAGCGCCCACGCTTCCGCGAGAAGCGGGAGGAACATGAGCCCACGGAGTGGGCGGAGGCAGGTCTGCAGGGGGGGGGGACCCGACCCGTGTTTTTGCAACTTGTGGCTCCCGCAACCAGACGAGATCGCGCCGCCTCTCTGAGACGGGGAAGTAAGATACGAAGACCCCGACGGGCCTATAGCGGCGTTCAAGTTGTCCTCGGGGTTTGTCAGTTACTCGAATTGGTCGCGCCATGGAGGTAAGCATGAATTGGCATCGAGAGTGGGATTGTGGTTTCCGTGGGCTCTGAAGGCAATCTCTTGCAAGCTCTGTTTGGGAACGTTCCTGGATTTCTATCTCATTCAGCGGTGTTCGGAGAACGCCAGGGACTCCTCCAAGCACTCCCCCACCCACCTCGGACCCCGACGGCGATAACCCAGAGAGCCCACCCGTGATTCACATTGACTCTAAACGTTTGCTGTCCGGTAAGGACACTGTTCAGGCCACCTCGGATCACGGTCCGCCGGTGAAAGTTCAGCGTGCTTTTTTTCAAGAGATTTCCCACCCTGGAGGCAGCAAAAGGTGAAGAGCCACATGGCGGAGAGTCTTGTCGTAGTGGTCCGCCGTCGCCAGAAAGGGCAGGATCGTGTTGATGAGTGCGCGCAGGATGGGGCCAGGATCCGTCCAGAGGTACTAACGAACCTGCGCAGGTACGAGGTGATACAAGAAGACCGGACAGAAGTTGCAGTAGGTAAAGCAGGCAATACATTTTCGGTAAATTAGATCATGCCCTGCTACGGTCCCTGGAGTCGAGGCCTGTCCCCAGGAACTTCGCCCACACATTGTTGTGGAACGGCTACAGGTTGCGTTGCACCAGGCGTGCGAAATGTTTTGTCTTGTCAAACCTGCCAAGGGGAAGTGCGCGGCCCTCACCCCCTCCCTGCTGAAGATAGGGACCTTGAGGTCTTGCCGCCCCACAAACTGCATGTTTGCCGAGTGACCGAGGCTGGCCTGCCTATTACTTTTGTGTTGGCGGTTTGGGGCCTACACTTCTGGCCAGGGCCGTGCGTCAAGTACCACATGCCGTAAATCGCACACGCAGCGGCCCAAACAGTTGCTTTCAGTCATGTTGCCTTGGCCGAAGGGCCTTCATGTCTCAAATCCGTGGCCGCTGGATCGCCCCGACTGCAACACTCACTTGTGATAAGAGGCGCACCATTTAGTTCCGCCAGCCTCACCGAGCCCAGTTCGAGGGATCAACGAGAGAGCCACTGGAGAACAAATGGAAGGAGAAAGGGAGGAGAAGGAGGAGGAGGAGGAAGAGGAGGAGGAGGAGGAGGCAAGTGCTCGACTGGTGTCGTCTCATTCGAGGGCCCCCCAGAGGGCACAAAGGCCCTCCTGGAGCCCTGCGTGCTGGGCGGGCGGCCTGCCAAGGCCCACTTCCCATGCTCGGGGTCTTCGGCCACGGCCCAGGAGGCAGAAACGCATTTAAGCTTCACCAGGATGCGCCATCACCGATGGGTAGGAACCTAGCCAGCGTGGCCCTGGCGGTGGGGAGCGCCAGGCGAAACCTGCTTGGTCCGACATGCGGAAACAGGAAAGAACAGGCGCAGGAGGAGGAGAAGGGGGGAGGGGTGGGGAGGAAGAGGAGGATCGAGCATCGATGCCTCTTGTTGTCGCCCGGGGTTGCGGGGGGGTCCTTCCTGTCGCCACGGCTGGGTCCTCTCCGCGAAATGTTGGGCGGGGCCCACTCAGGAGGGGTCGGGGGGTTGGGCGGAGTGATGTTCCTGAGGGCGTCGGGTACAGCGGGCACAAGAGTTGAGGCCAACCTTGGCCTTGGACGGGTACGCTCATGTTCTTAAGGTATTGAGCCCTCCACCTTTGGAAATACTTGTTCGGGGTATCTCCTTGGGGCCTTGTGCTGTCGGCGAAAAAGCCCACGTTGATGACCCGCGTCTGTGTGGCCACATTACATCTGTTGAGGCTCAGGGGAGCTTCGTGTGGTCACGTTTGGATATCCGTCGAAATTGTAGTCGGAGCCCTTTCCGGGAGAGGTCCGGGGGGGGGGCACATGCGGAGGCCGTTCTTGGAGCCCGCGGGGCCGAGAGCGCCAGGTCGAAACTCGAGGAGGCTGTTGGACGTTTGGGGTCGTTTGGTGGGGCTCTGCAGTGTCCAGGGAGGCCCCAGTTCCCACAGGCCACAGGACATGGCGCTTCCTCGAGGAAGGTGCCCCTCCCCCCCGCTGATGACCCTCCCCGGCACTGCCCGACCCCGCCACGCCCGCGTCACGCGCGGGCGAGAAAAGCCTGCCAGGTCGTCGACGCCGAGGGCGGGCAGCAGTACCTGCGGCTCGCTGACGGGCGCGGCTGGGCCTTCACCCGCAGGCTGCCCGCCCCCTCGCCCCCCAGGGGTGGGGCCTTGACCCAGCTGCAGTAATCGCTGCGACTTGCAGCACTTGCAAGATGGTTGCATCTCACTTGCAAGGCGCTTCTCCAAGTTGGGCGTGCGACTTACTCACACTTAGATCCGTTAGGTGGACTTGCAGCCCACTTGCAGGCGCCTTACAAGTGCGTCGCAACCACATAGCAACTGTTGCAACTCTTGCAGGTCGAGCCGACCACATTAGGCCTCCCAAGTGGGGTCCGAGTAGATGGGGTCGGAGGATCGTGCCGCATCGCCGATGCATCGCCAATGCGGCTCGATGTGGGGACCGAGTTCCTCCACGCCGACGTCGCCGACGCATCGCCAGCGTCGCCGATGCATCACCGATGTGTCGCCGATGCATCGGCGGTGCGGCGCGACTCTCCGACCCCATCTACTCGGCCCCGATTCGGGAGGCCGATATTGGCGCCGGCGAGCTACTGGGGCACCGGGCGCGCGGCAGGGCCCCTGGGAGGGATTGCGCATCGAGCCTTCCAATGAACTCAAAGAGAGGGGGCAGGAGGGGGAGGAGGGAGAGGGACGAGGGCCAATGCTCTGGAGGGCCGTTCGCTGTGAAACTCTCTGCAGCAACGTGGCTTTCCGTTACAATGGCGGCAATCTTGCGATGGCTACGGGAGTCGAGGATGGATGCAATGGCGTGCCACAGGTCCTGGTTCGATTTGGGCATGGACCTGGAAAGGAGCCTGTGCCACCCACTTTCGCTGCAGCCACCACCTGTGAAGAAAGTAAAGTCCTCATGCGCTTGCAATAGAAGAGCAAACACACGCCTTGTGCCCAGCTCTGTAACCGGTGTGTCGTCTGTCCGTCAGGGTAGCACTCTTCTCACATAGAACTCCTACAACCTGCCCCCTCGACCGAGACCTCCTCGCACGCCCAGGCACATCTCCGACGCCGAGGGCCCTTAGCGTGCTCACCCCCCGACCCAACTCCCGCACGGAGGTGACCCAAATACTCTGGTGGGGTCTCCACCTGGACAAGACGCGTGACCCGCCCGGTAAAGAGGCTCGCAACATCATCCGATGGGTACGCCATATCGTGCGTTTCGGCGGAGGTCGAGAGGGGGGGTTGGGGGCACTTTGACGAGGAAGGCGGGCATGATGCCCCGAAGCCACGCACATTCGTTAACATTAGAATTGAGGGCAACCTTGGCTGCCTCAACAAGGTCGCCAGAAACTACACACTGGTCAGGGTTCGTTACAGCTGCCTTCCAGAACTCTGTGCATGAGGGTCTTCGTTAGGAGCTAGACCTCCCCGAGGGCAAGTTGGGTCAGCATCGCCAGCGACACACTCGAGCCACAGATCTGCAGCAGCTGCACATTCGATGGTGGCTCTAAGCTCGAACTCCTGAGCTTTACCTCATGTATTGAACCGCTGACATAAACAGAATATGCCCGCTCCCTCCTGCAGCCCACCTCCCCAGTACTGGGTGTGCGCGCCTGCCCAAAGCTTCCTCTCCATGGAGGCGCGCGCGGTGGCCAGCAGGTCGGAGGAGTCGAACGCAACAAGCAAGGACGCGAGCGACGGGGAGTCTTGCGCGGGGGCCCTCCAGCGCTCTTCAAATAGATTTGACATTCGAGGGGCCTGGAAGTGCCCCGCCCCAGGCCGGGGAAAAATATGGAGATAGCGGATATAAGCCCTTGTTAGGCTATCTGCGCCGGGTAGTGATAGAACAGGTTTTGGTGGAAACACGCTCCCAAGACTCGGCGGGGCGTGTTTCTCCAGGAGCGTGAACCAGTGAATCAGCAAGTCCAGCGCGGCCAGAATGATGGGATCGCGGGACCCGTACCTCAGGGCCAAAACGATAGTCAAAAGCGTGCACTGCTGTTGCCCCCCAACAGCTCGCATCGCCGCTTGCCTAAGCTTCTTGAGTCGGCTGGGGGGCGCGCCAAAAACTGTCGACTCGCACATTGATTGGGCCACTGATCCTGTCTGAAGCAGCTTAATTCTGCAGTGCTGCTTCAAAGATCTGAGTTGCGCTATGCGGTTGCCCCTGCGCACTCCTTTGAGCGATTGCTGGAGACTTTTGCATCTTCTGATGCGATCGTTGGGTCCTCTATCGATACCGTGGTCAAGGGCACTGTCGGGAACTTGAACGTCAATGCCTACCTGCTTGAGCTCACGGTCGAAATTCGGAGCAATAGAAGGGCTGGAGGCGATAATGTAAGATTTGTTGGAGACAGGCAGGTGCAAATCTTCTAGCCCCTCCTTGGACGAAACCACGAAGGCGACAGTTTGATCAGTTACACGCCCTGCCAGGGCCCCCCAGTGAGCCTCGATTGTCGGTGCGAAAAACCTGGCGTTGCGAAGGCGTCTGCGGGCCAAATGCCGCTGAACGCTAAGGGCAAGCACGACGCTAGGTAAAGTATGTTTGGTAGCTTGTTTTTATACCAAGATTGGAAACCAAGATTGGGTCTCAGCTGCCGCTGATATTGATGCGTCCGCTGGACTTGCGCCACGGCGCGCGTCGGAGGATGAAATCGAGGCGGGAGGGTTCAGCGGGCGGGGTCTAACAGGGGACGAGGAGGGGCCTTCACATTCTCGAACCTCGCTGGAATCCCGATCTGTAGGTAGTGGTCCACGGCTGTGCTCTGACATGCGCAGGCTCGACCAGCGAGGTGGTGGAGCAACGGGGTCTCACCCAAGGCTTCGACAGTGCTGCGTGCCATGGGCTTAACCTTCTTGCGTCAAGTGCCGAGATTGTCCAGTTGAGACGCTTAGTGGCTAAAATGTTTCAAGGTTCTGTCTGCAAGTGTCATGGAAGTTGTAGTCCGATTTCAATCGGCAGCGTTTGCTCGAAAAACGAACTGCTGGGCATCAAGGCGAGGCGACTCCTTCGAGGCTCTCTGCCACGACTTTGCAGCGGCGCTGTTCAACGCTGGAAGCTTTCCATCGGCGATGCTGGGGGTGAGGGGCTCAACGCGGTCCCAAATATGCTGAGACGTTTGTTCGGCCCCAGGTTTCGACTCGGGCTTGGCGAGAATGCGGCTCAGGAGGGCCAGATGCTGAAGACAGCCAACCAATTCGCATCATTGTGAACCGACTGCAGAGGGGCTGTTTTGCAAGAAACTGGGCGTTTTACAACCAGAAGATTTCAATCGGGAGGCCCAAGTGCCGGAATCAACAGCAGAGTGTTTAGAAGCACGCGGGGCCGCGACATGCCCGAAACAGCTTCGGATCTCGGCTGGCGCTCCAAGATGGATCTGTGACATGACAGTTGGGTCAGGCTCGACCCGATCCCAAAATTATCCCAGAAGGTTGGTGTCCAGGACGGACCGCCACCAGTTTCGGAGTGGGGGCTTGGGGGCCGGGCTTGAAAGTTAACGCGGCGATGTGTTGCCGATGGGGTCTGGCGCACGCTGTGGCAGCTGAGAATGAGGGAAAGGTCCGGACATCGCACAGGTTAAATGTTCGGCGTCTTTCGGGTCGAGGCCAACGCACAAGTGCAGGCCTGCGCACGCCTTCCACCCTCGATCCATCACTGAGCTGACTGAGCGATCGGGTGGGGTCAGATCCTTGGCGCAGACGGCGAAATCTTACATGCGTCCCTCACCAGCGAAATTGGTGAACTCGACGTTGTTTGGAAGCATCTGAGTCCCACCTGCTGCGCCCATCCAATCACTGAGGGCATCTGGTTCCACGTTCCAATCTCCGAAGGCAGCCCAGTGCGCGCAGCTGGTGAAGGTTGCGACCTTTGACCCCGACGCCGCGATCGAGGTATATATGAACAAGATCAATATGATGCCATGCCGTGCGGATAAAGATTGCGCAAATGAGTGAAAATCTGAGTCAATTGCCAAGTTGTTTGTTGTTTGTCGCGCCGCAGCTCGTGCCATGACATTGCGGAACATGCGCGGCAGTCTGAACAGAGGGCATTGCATGAGGTTTTTCTTGGTTGCGGTGCGGGTGCCTACTGCATTCAGCGCGCGGTCTCGTGGCATGGCTGGCAAGAAGACTGGGCGCCAACCTGCTTGCGCGACACTGTCTCTAAACTAATTGAAGTCACCTGGGCCCGCGCGATGTTCACACATGCCGACGACGTCGTAGCATCGCCAGTTATTCTTGACATGTTCCACCTCATTTGATAAGATTGCGCATGTAGATGTTGATGCACCTCCATTTAGTAGTAGACGAGCGAAGGCGCTTGGCATTGGCCTCGCCGACGCTGGCTCCGCCTCCCCTTATCGTGGTGCTCAGGGAGGGTGGCTGGAGCCTGTCACGCTCCCGTGGCGCCCTTGCCGTTGCCCGCCGTCGCAAGCGCCGCATTGACGGGCTCGTCTGTCCGACTGGCGACGCGGGTCTTGGCGCTCGGGTTCTCGTCGGTCGTTGGCGTGGTAGGGGGCCGCGCGACGCCCGGACGCCCGGGCAGGCTGACGCCGACGTGCGAGACATCGTTCACGGTCTTTAGCCAAAGTGGCTACGGGGGCCCCAGTCGGGAGGAGGCGCCGAAGCAGCAAGCCCCATGCCATCGTCAAGGGGATAGGCGCACGGGGGATGCATCGACCCCAGCCGCCCATTGACCGCTGATGGGGGCGTACAGGATCGCCCATTGATCGCTCATTGATCGCCAATCGCCCAGGAACGTGCGGTTTTGTTATTGGGAGCCAACTGCCGATCTATCGACGATGTATTGCCGATTCAATCTCGATGTTTTCGCGCCTGAGCCAGCCATCCCCCTATCGTTGCCCCCACACCCCAACATCGGCCCTCGATGATCAAGAAGGGAGGTCTCTGGTCGCCTTTTGACGGTTTGTGTGTGGTCTGGGTTTTTGGTCAGGTAAGGCCTTTGGAAGCTGTCGAGGACCTCCAGGTCCCCCCAGGGTCAGGATTCACCCGGAGATGAAGGAACAGGTGCCAGAAGCAGGTGGGGATTGATTTGAGTGTTTTCTTGCGTCTCGTTGTCCTCCTGGTGGGCATTACCGCCACAGCACGATCCGCCGCGAAATCCTGGCCAGACTGCGTTTCAGGGCAGGTATTGGGGCTGGCTCTGAGTGGCGACAAGAGGGGGGCCTCCCAGACATGTGCCCAGCGTCGCGATGGAATCACCACTGCTTTTGTCATGCTGGGTGCCTGAGCGTAGTTTTCGGGCCACGGGGCCATCAGAAAATTACCGTGCGGAGTTTCTTGGGGGGTACGATTCAACCAAGGGATGTGCCGAAATAGGCGACAGCGACCTGCGAGTTCCTTTTCTGAGGCCCCATGTGGAGCTCCTGATACGGGACGAGCCGCGTGAGAGGTGTGCCGAAATGGGCGCGGTGCCGCCATGCGAAGTGGCCCTCTGAGAACCAGGAGCCCACGGCGTGGAAAGGCCACGGCGTCGAGGGTCTGGGCGAGGGGCCCTCGGGAAGCCCCTTGGTGGCTCCCGGGAGGCCTTTCAGAAGCGAGCTGGCCAGGGGGGTGATATGGGGCATCGCTGGCTCTGGCCGTTGGAACGAGGGAGTGGCGCCACTGTACACAGGTGTCGTTCCCTCTTCCTTTTGGGCTCTTTTCTCCAGACAGTCATCAAATGCCGAAGTTGCCCCCGTTCCCCTCCTGACTGGCTGGTTTTGGTGGTGCTCATCCCGAGCAGATCCCCCAGCCTCCACCAAGTTTGAGCAATTTTGGGGACGTCTTGGCGGGATCCCGCAGCGTTGGGTTCCCGCAGCGTTGGGGCGGTATTGGGCCGTTTTGAAAGGTTATTGCGGCCGTATTGGGCCCGTCTCGGGGCCATCGTAGGGCCGTCTTGGCTGCAGAAGGACTTCTGATGCTTTCCCAGGCGACTAGGTCCGAAGAGTGTCAGATGTACAAGAGCAGTGATAACCCTGCTTGTGCTTCATTGGCTTTGGCCTTCATGGGACTGCTTGCGGACATCCTGGAGCCTTCGGGGGCGGCTTCGGGCCTTGTAAGCTGCTGCTAGGCCTGCCTTGTCGGGATGCATGGCCGTCTTGGAGCTCTCTTGGAGCGGTGTTGCCTTGTCTCAGTGGGACCGTCTCGTACAGACAGTCGAGGTGAGGGGGGCGCCGTTGGAATATTCAACAACAAACTACCAGACAGCGCGCCTCAACCTGTCGGCTGTCTCGGTTGTCCCATCAGCGTTGATCAATGCTGTGCTGATTTCGTTTGCACATCCTCTGCCTGGTGCTGCGTACGGCGCAGCCTGTAACGAGCACCGCCTAGTTTTGGCAGCACCCGAAATTGTCATGGCAGCCGCGGCTGGAGCCTACATTTAAGCCCACATACCGCATACCGCATACCGAAGGTGAGAAACTCAGCGGGCACTCATGCGCGTTCTAACAGATTTACAGCCGCGCGATTTTCGAATTCTTCCCTTCCGGCCCCGCTTCGTTATTCCTCCTCGTCTGAAGCCCAGGCTGCGGAGATAATGTAGGTTTGAGGGGGGGGCGCCATGTCGTTGGCCCATGCGGGGGCCCCTCAACCCCCGCCTGGTGGCAAAAGGGGTCGATTTGATATGCGTCTCCTCCCCCCAGGCTTTAGTTTTGTGATTTGCGAGGTTTTCCCATGGCTTGGGGATGGGGGTTGTCTGAACCTGAGCTCCCTCCCTCTCCTCCTACTCCTCCCCCTCCTCATCACTATCATCACTGTCTGTATCAGGTCCCGACGTGGCATCGCGTGCGACGGGCACGGACCGCCCCTCGTGCTGTATGTACATCATACCTTCGCCCGCGCCTTCGCACGGCCCCGCTGAGAAGTCTTTTCTTTGGCGTCCTTGTCCCCCTCGGTGTGCATATCGAGACGGTGGGGGCGCTCGGTAAGGAAAGTGCATTAGAGGCTTCAGACCCTGGGGGATTCATTGTCGGATGAGGGCGGCGGTGAGATCCGTGGCAAAGCCTCCATCGGTGTTCCACAGGCTTTTAGACCATGTATTCCCACTCGCCGTGCGCACGTACTTGCGAGCACTCGCTTGCGCGTGCGCATGCGGGCGGACGGATGGGTGCGTGCATGGCGCACGCGCTCGCACACGCACGCGCCGCGCACGTCGCCGAGCGCTCCCTCCCGCGACCTGGCAGAGTCGCAGCACGCGCGCAGCTCCGCGCACGCGCCCTGACAGGGCCGCCAACAAGCAGATTCAATGCGATTCGACTTGCCGGACAGGGCCGCGAGTCCGATTTGATCCGATTCGGGCCGGGGCCAGGGGTAAAACCTCTCGTGCCGCTTTTGGGCACCAGGGGCTCTTTGGGTCCCCTTGACGTGCTCTTTCTTCCCCCCCCCATTTATCGCCCCACCATTTCGCAACGCCCGACCGATTTCGATTCGCTTCGGGAAGATTCGCTGGCGATCTGGTCCAGTTCCGATCCGATCCGATTTCGCGATCCAGCCCAGGCCTGCTTGTTCCCCTGGCATCGGGGGACAGCGCGGCTGGAGCAACGGGCGCCGGCAAGGCAATGCCAAGGAGGCCACCATTGTGGGTGTCGCCAACTCCTCCAGGGAGCGGACCCCCCTGGACCCCGCAGGGCTCTCAAGGACGCCGCCCAGAAAGGTTCCACACCACTTCGGCCTTCGACGCCGTGTTCTCCTCGGTTCTCGATCTCCAGGAGGATCTGGCGACCCTCCCGGGTCGCGACCGCCTGTGGCGCTGCCCGAGTCGGGGTGGGCGGGGCAGAGCGGAGGGGCAGAGCTTTAGCGGGAAATGCGGCACGCGCGCGGAGGAGGAGACGGAGGGAGAGGAGGAGGACGACGGCGAAGGTGAGGCGCCCGGCACTGATGGTAAGTCTTTTCGCCCCTCACCTAGACCTCCGACGATCTGATTTGTTGAATCGCGGCGTCTTTTTTGAGTTTCTGCATCCTGGGGCAGTTTTCAGAACTGCGTGCGGGGCAGGGGTCGGGATCTCCTTGGGGCCGCGCCTTGGAACATGCATCGTCGGATGTCTGGGGATCCTGATGCACGGCGGTCCCTGGAGGTCCCTGGAGACCTCTGCGTTCGGGCGGGTGTCCAAAAGGGGCCCTCAAGGGCCCTTTCTTCACCCCCCAATGCAGGTCCCCCCATCAGAACACCCGCCCGACGCATGCCCAAGGAGGCCTCCAGAGGCTCGCCAGGGGCCACAGACGTTTGACACAGTCTCCCCTCGACCTTCGAGGGTCGAGGGCAGACCCTGGCAGGGCGCTGGAGGAGAGGGAGGGGGCGGAGGAGGGAGCAGGAGGGAGGGAGGGAGGGGGGAGGGAGGAGGAGGACGAGGGAGGAGGAGGAGGGAGGGAGGGATGGATGGATGGGGGGGGGAGGGGAGGGAGGAGGGAGGGAGGGAGCAGGAGTAGGAGTATGAGTATGACCATGAGACGAAGTCTGACCCTCAAAGCATGCACACTGATCACCATGACGGCTTCCAGGAGCCACGATACAGTACACGTTGGGCGAACATACATTCGCGATCGTGCTTTCGAGAAGACCATGCAACTCATTGGGCCGCGGACTTCACCATTATTGGATGCATACTGCCAGCACCAAACACACAAACCTATACTGCGAACAACCCGTAGACCCTCAGGCATCTCGAAACGCAGGATACAAGCTCGGCTGCGAACTTCATCCTTATTGAATGCGCAGGCCAGCACCGAACATAGCACAACAACGATGGTGCATTTAACCCACTCACTCTCAGGTTCCTCGAAGCGCAACCCGCCAAGAAACCACTCTCCTAAGAGTCCGGCCCGCCACAGTGATGAAGTACGCTCGAGTGCGTGCGGGTGGGTCAATGCAGAACTGGGCTCCCCCCAAATGGCCCCCGCATCCAACACGGACAACGAGGAAGGTGCACAGGAAAGCGGATAAAATCACCCCCACGTGAGATTGACCCGTCCAATACAGCACGCTGGCAACACCAAACGACGAAATTGAGTGCAACCTGACTCTGACACGTTCACCCCGCCCTTAGCCGACCCGCGCCTTAAGATAGAAGACCAGAGTTGCGGAGATTTAGCGACAAGCACGCCGCGCTGAGGCGGCGGGGCGGGACCCATGACGCGCTTGAGCCAAAAGGAGGATCTGCGCGCCTTGGGCCCCGTGTGCTTGAGGAGGGATGGACGGAGGGGGGGAGGCGGGAGGAGGGATGAGGTGGAGGAGGAGGGAGGCGGAACTTCTATGGGCGAGGGGCGCGCGGCGCCGCGGGGCGGGGGAAGTTCCAACGACGGCCGCCTGCTCGCGGTGCCGATCTCGCCCGAGGAGGCCCGTCCCCATGCGCGGCTGTCTCCCAGTCGCATCGTCGCTCTTCGAGGGCAGAGACAGACGGCATACGCATACGGTCGGGAATTTTGGCTTAGCGTGTCGCTCAGCCAGTGCTGTCCCACATCGCCGCGGTGCGACACGCCACTTCTCGGTCCCCAGGCGTTCACGTGCCGAGCCTCTCCTCGCTTCCCTCTTCGCGGAGAGGAGCGACACGCTATCCACTCACAGGAAATAGCGTGTCGCCGGGGCCGCCGTTGCGGCACGCTAAGCAGAGGATCCCGACCGCAAGCTTGTGGAGGTCCCCGCGGATTTCTTGCAGCGTTGGACCCTCCTGTCGCAGGCCTAGAGGTTGACACCAACACCAACATCGGTGGTGCACCTCCACCGAGGGAAGACGACCCCGATCTCGGCGATGGTGGTCATATTCTGGCTTCCAAGGTGGCCGAACTATTACCACCACCGAAATTGAGGATCATCTTCCCCCTCTGGAGGCAAACCCCATGTGTTTGTGTTTGTGCCCATTTGCAGGCCTCCAATCCTGGCGGCGCCTCGGGCGCCGTCCATGGCGCGCGGAGCGCGCCAGGAGCTCTCCTGCTTTTCGCCACGTCACAGGAGAGAAAGATATTCAATAGTCAGAATTGGCCTGCCAGCTGGTGCCCCACAGAGGTCTTTTATCCCCCGATGGCCATGGGGGCCGCTTGCAGAAGCTCTGGGGCACCTCAGGACCCTCAAAGATCAACGAAGAATGTGCCCCAAGTTCTTTGCTTGTAGTATGTATGATTGCATGTGCAAGCATAAACTTCCGGAGGTCTTGAACATTTCTAGGATCGGCGCTTGGCACCCCCTTCCCTAGCGAGCTCCGCGCGCCACCAATGGGATCCAACCCCGATCCAAGAATTCCGCGCGGACCTCCGACAGTTTGTGTTTACGCAGTTGTTGTCCTCTGACCCTCGAGAGAAGAGGAGGAGGGAGTGGATGAGGAAGAGTACCAGAGGAAGCACGTTCCAAGGACGGCCGCCTGCTCGCGGTGCCGATTCGAGCAGGCCCCATCGCGGCGTGCCGCAGCTACCCGCAGCGGCTGTGTCCAATCGTGCCGAGCTCTCGTGCCTCTCAACCTCAAGGAGACAGGGTCGGAGGTTGATAGAATCCCCACCCCGCCGAGGCATTCAGCGAAGTGCCTACTTCCTGTTCCGGAGATGGCATTGCGGCCGCAACTTTTGCGGGCCTGCGTCCTCCAGTTCTGGCCCTGGCTGGTGCCACTAAAGGATGTGTGTGTGTGTCTCTGTGTGTGTGTGTGTGTGTGTGTGTCTGTGTGTGTCTGAGTGTCTGATTGTGTGTGTGTGTGTTTGTGTGTGGCACCTGGTGACGCGCAAAGTTCCGTAGCTAGCACGCTGGCTACGACTCGTATGCTGATTGGCATGTGCACCCAGACCCCATACAGGCACACCACTACCTCACAGGGAAGTCCCGCCAGGATCGACCTCGGGCGCGGCCCAGGGACAGAGACAACGACGGGGACACAAAGCCCCAGCGGGCGAAGCCACTTCGGGCCTGCCCAGACCTCAGGTGCGAGCCCACGCCCCTACCCGGATACACCCCAGCAGCCAGCGACGCCACGCAGACACCAGGCCAGAGAGGCCAAGGCACCCCGAGGGCCCGCACGGGCCTGATTATCCTCCTGGGCACGCGCCCGAGGTGAGATGTAGGCCATTCAGCGATTGGGTCCGCCGAGTGCCTGCCTCTGAGCGGGCGGGCGCTCCTTCAATGACGGCAGGGGACCAGGGCAAACGTTCGCGAGGCTCTGCGCGCCCCCAGTTGCAGAGACGTGCGCCCCGCGCTTTCGGAACAATATGAATTTGCGGCTTCGCGTCGCGAGCCCATGGCCCTGGCCCAGGGCAACGTTGTGCAGGCGGCATAGGAGGAGGGGAGATCGGAGGCGGTGTAGCTGTGGCCACAGGCTCAGCCACGCTCAGTGCAGGCGTCGCGGCCTCCGTCTCGCCTGCCTCGTCCTGCACCGCGGCGTCGTGCAGCACCGCGGGGTCAGCCAGCCTGCGAGTCGCAACCTCGTGCTGCATCTGGCGCACTCGCTACCTCGCCATGCGCGGTTCCTCCGCCGCCTCCGCGTCGGCGCCATTAAGTGGCGCGGCGGCCACCAGGGACGGCTCGGTCAGGCGCGGGGCGCTGGCTACCGTCCTGGCAGCGTTGGCTTCCTGCATCCCCATGTCGTCCGCGGCCACGCTGACGTCGTCGCCTGTCTAGTCTGGCAACAGTGCCGCGAGCCTCTGCTCCGTTGCCTCGAGCGCGGGTAGGAGTTCAGCCCCAGCATGCCACTTGCATCTCGCTCGCACCTCTGGTGGCTCTCCGCGGGCGTCGTTTCTGCGGGGCCAAGCCGCAGCTGCCGCTGCCGTGCCTGGGCTGTGCCGAACGCAGTGGCTGCCAAGCGTTTCCCGTGCTGCTGCCCGTGCTCGTCTTCGCCCTCTTGGCATGCATTTCGTGGGCATCGGGCCACCACTCTTCCGAGGGCTCCGTCTTGCTGGCCTGTGGGGGTATCGCCTGACCCTGTCTTGAGGGCCCACAGCCTTGTGTCGCGGGGGCATCGACAACCCCCCCCTCGATGGCCGCCCCACTGCGCGAAAAGTGCGAGGAGTTGGGGAGCTGGCCACAATATGGACTGCTGTGCGAGCTGGTCGGGATGTCCCAGGCAGGTGGATGGGGTCAGGCTCATCGGCCTCCTCAGCACGCTGGGGCGCGTCTGGTCACGCGCCCACACGCCCGCAGGCCTTTGCAAAGCCTGGGAGACAGCACGGGCGGCGAAACAGGTGCGGGGGATGGGGATAGAGCGCAGCTGCAACTCGCGCCTTCGACCACGCCTCCAAGGCAGAGGTCACGACGCACGAAGGTGGGGCCTCCATCACGTGGCCACTGGCCTCTTGACATGTTTCGAGACCGTGTCGGCGCAGGTGGTTCTGAAAGAGGCGCGCCCGCTCAAGTGCCGGATGCGGCTGGCGTCGCTGCTGCTGCAAAGATGTGCGCAGCCGCGTCTCTTCAGGGCCCTCGACGGGCTGTCCCACGATGCCTTCAGCCACCAGGGCGCGAGGGATGTTCGCGCGCGGCAGGAGCTGGTTTCGCCGGCGCTGGTTTCGCCCCGCTGGTCGTCGTCGTCGTCGTCGTCGTCGGGCGTCGGCGTCGGACCCGAGCGGGCGGGTCGGTTCGGGCGGGCGGACCCGAGCGGGCGGGTCGTGTCGAGTCGGGCGGGCGGACCCGAACGGGCGGGTCGGGTCGGGCGGACGGGACATTAAAGTGCAAGGCGCGCTCGACCCAGCACGCGCGAACCCCAACGGGCGGGTCGGGTCGGGCGGGCGGACCTTTGCGGGTCGTCCCAGGACGGGTCGGGCGGGCGGACCCTGACGGGCGGGTCGGGTCGGGCGGGCGGGACATTAAAGCGCGGGGAGCGCTCGACCGAACGTGCGCGAACCCTAACGGGCGGGTCGGGTCGGGCGGGCCAGCCCTAGCGGGGATGATGATGAGGATGTTGATGATGATGATGATGATGATGATGATGATGATGATGATGATGATGATGATGATGGTGATGGTGATGGTGATGGTGATGGTGATGGTGATGGTGATGGTGATGATGATGTTTGTGGTGATGATGATGTTGATGATCATGGTGGTGGTGTTGATGATGGTGCTGCTAATGATGATAATGATGTCATGATGGTCATGATGGCTACGATGAGAGAGTGAAAAGGGAGGAGTGGCGCACGCAAGGAGCAGGGAAACAAACAACACTTAAGAAGGCAGGGAACAGAGGAGGGTCGGCTGCAGAATTGGAGATAGAGGCTGGCCAAGAAAAGGCAGGCAGGGTGGCCGGCAAGGGAGGGAGTCGAGGGAGAGGTGAGAGTGATGTCAAGCGGGGATGGCAGCGGGACGGGACGGAGGGAGGGAGGCTAGTAATAGGGGGTCTTCCGCTTTCCCTCAATCCGTCCATCCACCATCCTCTGCCCTGCCTTCCTTGTGAACATCCTCCATTCCTTCAACCCTTCCTCCTCCATCCCGCCCACCCTCTCTTCTTAGCCACCTGATCCTCCTTAACCGCGTGCCCCGGATATTGAATCATATCCCCTTTTAACCCCTGAGATTAAAGTATCCCCGGCCAATGCAGATTTCGTCGGGGAAGAGGGGCGGCAAGGCCGAACTTGATCATCGCGGGGGAAAGTTGCGAACCGCAGATGCTATCTTCTTATGTTGAGTAGCAGAGATTCCTTGGGATTCCTACGGGTTGCCTCCGGATTCTTGTAGATGTTCTGGGGATTCCTATAGGTTTCATCAGGAATGCGATGGATTTCCGATGGGCAAGGAATCGTATGGATTTCCAAATGGACCCCACGGATGCCCGGAGGAATGTTATGAAGCTCCTCCGGGATCAAATGGATTTCCGGAGGAATCCGATGGTTTTCCGAAGGGAATCCTATGGATGGTCAAAGGAATACGACGGATTGCACCAGGAATCCGATGGAATTGTATTGAAATCTTATGCATGTCCTAAGGAAACCGAAGGATGTTCCTAAGGACTCCTGTGGATAAGAGAGCCCGGTGGATGTATTATGGAATCCTACAGATGTTCTGAGGAACCCCATAGATTGCGTAAGGAATCCGACTGTTTCCCCCTCCAGCAATCTACACGATTCCTTCGGAAATCCATCATGAGCTTTCTTTCGTAAATTGGATCCCTTAGGCAATCCATCGGGTTCTTTCGGGGATCCAGCGGTTCCCTTCCGAATTCCTCCGGGTTCATTGGGAATCCAGAGGTTGCTCAAGACATCCTTCGGATTTTCTAGTGCACCCATCGGATCCCACACGCATTCCATTGGATGCCCTCGGACATCTATAGGAACCCTCATGAAGTCCATCGGCTCCCGTGAGGCATGTATGGGATTCCGAAAGAGCACCCATCGGATTCTTACAGACATGTGCAGGGACCCTCTGGACATCCA